GGGGGGGGGGCCCCCCGTGCCCGCCAGCCTCACCAGGGCCGGTGGGAAGGGGCAGCAGCGAGGCTGCTCTGCGTCAGCGCCGGCAGCCGGGGCTCCCGCGGGCAGGGGTGGCGTGGGGCCTCGCCTGCCGGGGTGGCCGCTGACCTCTCGCCTCTGTCACCTCGGCAGGAGCGCTGTCCTGCGTCCTCGGCAGCGGGAGGGAGCACATTGGCGCCGGCAGGGCTCCCATCCAGGCGCTGAGCTTCTCTGAAGACGGAGGTGAGATGCGTGCGGTTGGCAGGCTGAGGGGAGATCTGTCCGTTTGTCCTTCCTGCCTGCGTGTCTGGGCAGAGCTGCGTGTGTTCAGGCAGCTGCTGCTGCACGGGATGCTCCTGCCCTTGGTAACATCGAGGCAGTCTGGGCCTCTCGGCAGCTTCAGCTGGCCCCTGGGCCATGGCAAGGGAAATTTCCAGGGGAACTCTGGTAGATGGGGTGGAAATGGGGGATCCCAGAGGCTTTTACGGCGTTTGGCCATTTAGTTCCCCCGCCAGGTGCCGCAGGAGCAGATGATGATGACAGCAGAGGGGACGACGTGCCCGGAGCACCAGAGGACACTGTGGAAATGGCTCCGGCTGCTAACGAACGCGTCGAGGCGCAGAGGGTAGGTGTGGGCAGGGGCTCGTGGGGGCAGTGCCACCGCCTCGCTCGTTCCCCGGAGCCCGGCTGCCCTGCACTTTGCTGCCTGGTGCCGCGGGAAACTCACTGGCTCATTCTGTGTCTGCCAGAGCGCGCCCCGGGCAAAGGGGTACGTGCTGCGGGAGCCAGCCCCTGCCGAGGACCCCAAGGCCCACATCAAGGTAGGGGGGCCCAGAGCCGGGGAGCCTCTCTGAGTCCGTGTGGGATGCTGCGGGAAGCCCTGGGACGCCCCTGCCCTCCCCGCTGCGCTCTGTGCCGTGCCGGTGCCGATGGTGGGATGACCTGCTGAGCCAGGTGGCTCCCGTGCGCCCACCCTGAGTTGCCACAGGGACCTTGGCTGGGAGCAGAGCGGCCCGGAGCTGTGCCGGCTTCATCTGTGCTCGCTCCTCCGCCAGGAGATGCTGGATCCATGGCAAAGCCTCGACCCCTTCGGTGACTCCGAGGACAAGCCGTTCAAGAAAGGTATTTGAGGTGGAGCTGGGGCAGAGGGGCTGCTCCCCGGCTTTCGGTTTGCCCCGGACAGGCCGGGGCCCAGCTGCGCAGGGGCAGCACGGCTCAGTTCCCCAGCCGCTTGTCTCTCGGCATCCCCAGAGCCACGGCGGGTCCTTCCCAGCCCTGCGGTGGGCAGAGGGGCCCAGGAGCAGGGCAGCTGCCCCATCCCGGGCCCTTGGGGGCAGCTGGGCTGCGCTCAGAGCAGCGGCACGGGACTCCCCGTGGCACCCAGTGCCGCTTGCGCCTGCCCCAGCCCCGCGGGGCCGCTGATCCCTACCTGCCTCCAGGGAGGCCCTTCCTGGTGCCGCACGGCCTGGACGACATGGTCGGTGGCAAGCGGAAGAGGAAGGGACCGAGGAAGCTCCAGGACTTCATGGCGTGGTTCTCTGCAGCCTGTGAGTATCGTGGCCGTGGTGTTTCCCGCAGGATCCTGCCGTGATCCGGCCTTCTCCGCCAGGAAACGCCCTGCCCAAACCCGTGCGCCGTGGGTGCGCCGGTCCTGGCCGGCCCCGTTTGGCAGCGGCTGCGGTCCTGCAGCTCGCGTCCCTGCTCTGGCCCTGGCCTCGCTGGCGCTGCCCAGGCAGCTCCCTCCCATTTACCGTGCGGGATGCAAATTGCTCTCGTCGGCCCAGGAGCCCCTCACCCGGGCCGTACCTCCACCGAGGGGAAAGGGGAGCGGATTATCTGAGGGAGAAGCGGCTGCCAAAGCTCTCACCTGGAGCTGGTGGTGGCTGTCCTGGGTTCGGCCAGGGCGCCTTTGGGGGAAGGAGGTGGCCCTGGAGGTGACAACCGGCTCGCTGCATGCGGTGATGGTAGCGGAAGCGGTGGTGCTGTCACCGGGGCGCTGCCTGCCGCTGCCAGCCCTCGCGCGCGCCTGCTCTCCCTGCCGCCTTACCCAGGAGCCCTCAGGGGGTCGACACCTTTGGCCGGTCGTAACTTTGATCCTCTCCGGTTCCCCTAGACAACAACGTTGCTGATGGCAGGAAAACCAGGAGGAAAGGGCCGACGTTCGCAGGTGACTGGGATGCAGTGGGGTGGATGGGAGAGGGGCCGTTTTGCTCCCAGCCTGTGCCCTGTGCCGCTGCCGTGTGCCACACCACTGCCATGCCCCGCGCCGTGCGGCCTCCCTGGGTGGGCTGGGGCTGCAGAGCAGCAAGGAGCCTTGGTGGGGAGCTGAGTCCGAGGTGAAGGGCGGGAAGGGGCTCCCTGCGGCTGCGGAGCCAGAGCCGCTGCAGCAGGGCTGTGCCGGGGGAGCTCGCGGGCAGCACCAGCAGAGCCCCGCTGCCGGGGCCGGAGGAGGATGTCCTAATTTAGGAATCACGGGGGATTTCGAGGCCTTGCAGCTGTCCCTCTTTCAAAAAGCAAACCCAAAACCTGGCCGAGCTAAACCTGGCCGAGCTAAACCTCGCCTCGCTGGCTGCAGAGCCACCCACCGTCCCGTGACTCTGTGGCTGCAAAGCCCCTCCTGTGCCGGGGGCCCGGCTTCTGCAGGGGTGGTGGGGCACAGGGGGAAGCCCCCGAACCGTGCGGGGGGAGCCTGGGAGGGCTTCCCTGGGGCTGGGGGAGCGGAGGGGAGGGCGCGCTGCCCGGGCCTGGTACCCCGTCTCTCGGCAGATCTGGAGGTGCTGTACTGGAAGCAGCTGAAGGAGCGGCTGGCGGCGCAGAGGAAGCTGCAGAGCCGGGCGGTGAGCGGGCAGCGCCGGGGGGAGCTGAGCTCAGCGGGACCCTGCCCGCCCTCGTGGGCACCGGTGGGCAGGGGAGCCCCTTGCGGGGGGCCAGGGCAGGGGGCTCAGGGCTGCTCCCTACCAGGGGCCGCTGTGGACGCTGCCGCCGCCGTGCGAGGAGGAGCTGGACCTGCTGGAGGAGGAACGAGGGGCCGACTGCCACGAAGGAGCCGGTACTTCTGCGCCCCAGCCCCCCCTGTCCCCAGCCGGGGTCCTGTCCTGCCCCTCCCGCGGCGGCGGCTGGGGACCCCAGGGGGGCACTGAGTGGGGCTCCCCTCCTGGCAGGCAACGACTTTGCGGAGCACGAGGACATCCAGCCCGAGGGCCTGGAGGAGCTGGGGGAAGAAGCCCTGGGTGAGTGCTGGTGGCCGGGTGGGCAAGCGTGCTCCCCTCAGCACAAGCCCCACGGCCTTGGGGCCAGGCCAGGGTGTGCTGCAGGTGGGGGGCTGCTGCAGTACTCCATCCCAAACACCCCTGCCCCATCTGTCTGTCCGTCCTCGGGAGTGTGAGGGGTTCGCAGCGCGGTGTGGCTACTGGTGACGCTCTGCCCCCCCCAGGCCCCGGTGACCTGGGCTCGCTGGGCTACGAGGAGCTGGTGCGCAGGAACGTGGTAGGTGCCTGCGGTGGGGATGGCATGGGGACGGCACGGGGGCATGGGGACGGTGCGAGGGCGCGGGGATGGCATGGTGACAGCGCGGGGGCGTGGGGACGGCGCAGGGGCGTGCTGGTGGTGGTGGGGGGCTCCGGCCCAGGGTGGGCGCGAGGAGGGGGTGGCGGCTGGAGGGTTTGGGTGCCCCCTCTCCCCTCTCCCCGCAGGAGCTGTTCATCGCCAACTCCCAGAAGTACGCGCAGGCGACGGCGGTGT